TGATCCCCAATTTGTAGCCGACATAAATAATACCGGCGATAAGACCTATACCAGCTCCAATTCCAGCTTCAATGGGTAGTGCACACGGTAGAATCAATCCAACAACTGCCCCGACCGCAGCGCCAAATAAAGTGGAGCTAATCAAAGTTAGCACAATGTACTCGATCAAAAACATTTTTCCACCGTACTTTTCTCGAAGGTTATCTGTTAGTGCGATCAAATCGAGGCATGACGCTAAGTACTCTATCAGTACTGTCCGATTGATCTTGTTCAGAGTGGAATTTATGAAACGAGCCTTGTTTAAGTCATTTTCGTCTTGATACTTCTTCTTGGTAAAATTATCTTTGAGCACTTCGAGGTGGATCATGGAATCGAGAACATAATTGAGCAGGGCTTTCTTGAACTTTTGAACTTTGAATAGCAGTTCATCGTACTCGCGAAAAGCAGAACGCCCGATTGCATTCATTTGATCGAGAACACGTTTCAGTTGGTCGAAGATCTTACCAATAAAGTCCTTGTTCTTTAACTTGTTGAGAATATCATGAGCATCAAGTGGTGTGGATGAAGCCGTAGCCATCTTTATTGGATAAACGCTATGAAAATTAAAGTGTAAATGTAATCTATTGAATAATTTGATCCGAAATAACATACTTTTTTCCTTCGGGTTTTTTCCTATCATCCTACTCAACATTGAACAGAGAACAATAAATAGATGCTTCTCAAATGCATAATGGGTAAATATAACGTATTTGGTTTCTTCCAGCCATCGCATGCGTCGCAATGAAATGAAGGGAAACGCCAGCATGTCTCATAAAAGAAAAACGTATTTTTCTGTCGTTCTGCTATTGATAGAGATAGATTTTTGACACAGTAGTTAAAGATACAGAGATTCCATCTCCATCATTAGCAGAACGAAAAGAACAAAAATACGTTTTTCTTTGGGGTGTGGGTGTGAGTTTACACAGCTTGGATGAATCAACACCCACACCCACACCCATTCAAGCTGTGTAAACTCACACCCACACCCACCCACACCCAACACACACGCCCACAACTACACCAACACCCACACCCACACCGTCCCGTTTTAAAACCTTCTATTTCGGTAGTCCTCAGTGTGTGATTCCAAATATCATATAACTTTACGGAAGTACTCGCATAATAAGCAATGACTGTAAAAAAAAACCTGTTTTTGACTGAAAAGCTAATTAAATTTCGGTTTATACTCATCATAAATAGGTCGATTCGATAGAGAATTTTTTCTTTATTAGAATGTGTAAGAATGTATCCAACATTTTTTGTATGCTTTCTAATAAATGGTTAACACCGCTACAATTTGGTGAGTTTTTTTTTGTCTTATGATGTTGAGTTTTATTTATTCTATATCAGCATTATTTTATTTTACAAAAGCGAAATTCTATATACTCTTACTTACTATGGCACTTTCAGCTTGATGTTCGATGGCTGAAGATTTACTTTTCTTATAGGTACTCTCCCTCGCAAGAAATACCATCATTTAAACCAATATTTGAATATTCTTGAGAAGAGAAGTTCGTCTTTCACCATTAAATATATCATATTTCGAATTAGCACAAGAAAGCTTGTCAATGCGGCTACTTTGGAGGTAAAATTCGGTACTAACGTATGTCCTTCAACCTTGTTATCCTAATGTACCATTAGTACACTGAAAACTTTCCTGTCGACAACAGGTCTTTTCACTAATAATAGATCACAAGAGCAAGGGTATGGGTGTACGGTGTCGGTGTGCGTGGTTGTCGATGCGTGCGACAAACAAGAATAACCATACACTCACACCCACATGCACCACACACCTATACGCACCCCACACCCACACACACCCATACCGAACACACTCCCACATCCCAGACCCACACACCTATACCCAATGATTCAATTTGTTTATTTCTTGGTTTATTTGTGAGTCATGTTGTAAGGTACACAATGAAAAACATAAACATCATTTTAAATAAAAACGTGAAGAGGTTTTCTTTGTGTCTGAATTCAAAATAAGTGCTTTCAAATCTATGAAAGCATCGTAAGTTGCACATACATATTGTTCCAAATCCGAAATATCTTGATACGTGATACGCGGTGCATCAGGAGACAAGCCAAGCTGCTCTTCTTGAAGATCACCTTCAGTCTTAGCTTTTCCTAAAACATTGTTAGCTATTTCCAATGCATTGTAAATCTTCTCAAGTCCTGTTCTTATTTGCAACAGTGTTTCACGAACGTTTTCGATATCATCCTTGCATTTTCTCCAATTGATCCCCAATTTATAGCCGACATAAATAATACCGGCGATAAGACCTATACCAGCTCCAATTCCAGCTTCAATGGGTAGTGCACACGGTAGAATCAATCCAACAACTGCCCCGACCGCAGCGCCAAAGAA